TTTTAATTTTATTACGTAGAAGTATATCATGAGTCTCTGGGACGCATGATATACCATAACAGGTAAGAATAACGTCACTAAGTACTATTCATGGTAAAAATACGTGAAATCTAATCAGCCATAGTCTTAAAGTTTTCGTTGCGAAATAGAAAATGCTGTTTAAATAGTTTGCTACAGTAGCCATAGCATACAAATAAAGAGCAACTTAGAAGCTATTATTAATTGTAGAGCTCATCTTTGAAGGCTATCATTCACATAAGAATTAAATGCATGACCTAACTGAATCCAACAAATTTCATGCGTTAGTGACTTTTCTTACAGTAACTAAACTGCAACGAGTAATTTTTTGAGCATTTTGTAGTTGATTTCATGTATTAGTGATTTTTCTTATAGTTGTTAGACTGCAACAAGTAATTTTTGATGTTAGGGGCTAAGGCGGTGATGTCTACAATAAATATAATTTTATGAGTGTAAATTACTGTAGATTCGAAAACGCTCTTCTCGATTGAAGGTGTAAATTAAAAAAAAAATTATTTAGTTGTAAGCCGTAAATTGATGATAGATTTTGATATCTTTTAGAACAGTATAATTTTATTTCGAAGTACCATTAGCAATGTCGTTCAGAGAGGGTATCAAGACTACGATAATGTTGATGATAAAGCAAGTTTGCCAAGCTCAAATGAAGAAATTTATGCTTTAGACAGTGTCACCAATTCAATTAATTTAACATGTAGCTTCGACAAGATGCCACGGATGTTGGACTATTATATTAGATAGTACAATCATTAGAACTTGTGAAATTGGCATAGATGGCTGTTATTTGTTTTATCCAACGATTGGTTTCATAGCTGTTTCAGTGTACAGTTTAGAAATTAATAGAAATAGTAAGGGTTGGGTTGGAGTATCTTATTTGATAAACTATAGTCTTGGTGATGGAATATTAAATAGACTGGATAAGAATTAGGATAGATGAAAAATTATCGAGGTATCATTATTAGTAAGATTAATTTACACATTAGCAGTTTCTTTTGTTTATAACAGTAGGGAGTTTAAGATTTATCGATGATAGTCTTATTAATTGATAAATGTTTTGCTGCTACGATCCTCCCTGCTTACCTTATCAAAAGACGAGCTATTGAATTTTACTAGAAAATCAGGCGGAAAATAATTCTCCTTCCTTTGATCTAACCTACAATTCGTAAGGGAGTGACAAACTTTATTCACGTCAAGGTTGGAACCTATATAAATTAACAATAGATTTGAATTACTTTTGCTAAGCCGATAGAACCGTTATATCTTGAATCATATAGTTTCGATCCGGCAAATATGATTTAATGCTGGTGTTCATTCTATTACAAATCCATTTGGGATTAACAAGTGATTGACATGAATGTTGTCATGGAGAACGTAATTGATTTTAACACATCTTTACAAAGTGTTTTGCATGATAGAAGAAACTTTGACCCTTGCAAGAAATTCTCTGATTTACGCGATATTCATTCTAGTTCTGGACAATAGTGCCATCTGCAAGATCTTAGCTATGATAGTCACATTTAATTATTCTTTATCATCGTATCAGCTATTGGAAAAGAACATTGATTAAATCTAAAAAGTAAAAATCGTGCGACTAAGGATGGTGATCGTAAGCTGTGTATCTGTTCCGTGTCTTATTTTTTGACTAATTTAATCAATGCAATTCTATAGCTGTTGATGTTATATTGCTATCGACAAATATGACGATCGAGAATCAATTCGATGAGAGAGAAGACGGTGAAGAAACGGCTTTAATAAGTGATATTGATGAAAACGCCGGTTCAGATTGTACCATTGATTCGCATGATTTAATATCAAGTATCGATGATATCGTAGAAAACATCGACGTCGGATTATTTCACTATTTGGTTGTTTTATCGTGTGGTCTTTGCTATGGAGGATATAATGTCTACTTTCAAGCAATGGGATACATTATTCTTTCTGCTTGTGATTTAGATATCAATAAAAGTAACAGGGGATGGTTAAGTCTATCGATGATAAACTTATACAGTAACTACATCATGCTATTAAAACGCTATTTGTATCGTGAATAGCTTATGGCTTGTATACTACAGGACTGTATTTAGCCACCTATTCAAAGACTAAGAAAGAAAAGTCTATCGCCTTAACTTCAATATGGATTATGATTTACATGAAAACTTATAGATATTGGACCATATTATGAATATTAATAAAATAAGAGGAAAATATACGAACGCTGATATTCTTCTATATTAAAACTTACGTTAAGTAATTAATTGCGTTATAGTAGTTAATAAAGTAATGCTTTTGTTACGAAATAAAGGATTCAGTAAGTAACTATCGTTGGGCTCTTAGGTTGTTCTTGTGAAGCATAACAGCTTAGTTTTGGCTTTGTCTTTCATTACTCGAAAATAGTGGTAAAACTTGTTGCGTGCAAATTCTCACTGGAAATGCTGATAATACTTTTAATAGCCACTTACTTATTTACATATAATAGTTATTAAAATGATAAGAAGTAGCTTTAAATATCAAAGGTTTACATTCAGAATTCTTTGTGGTCGTATTATATAACTACACGTGCAATAGCTCGTATATTTTAATCTGTATAATAAAAACCAGCATTTAACTTCATTCGAGTAAGAAAACAGAAGAATGAAAGCTATACGATGTGTAATAATTTAGCTTAATTTTGCTAAGATACACTAAGGTTGGTGACACTTTGAACCAAGATAGAGATTAGGGGAACAATACCAGTTTATTTAATATGTTTTACTTTATAAATTAAAAAGCCGTTTAAGTGAGTCTTGCAATAGGTATAACATTATACTGTCTGACACAATCCTTCCACTATCATCTACATTAATTTGGATATTACTTGCAAGTCCTACACTAAAATCTTAAATCATCTTACAATACATTACTAAATAAAGAAATATTCTATGAAGGAGAATACTAAATATTAACCTTCATTACAGATGACTAGAGATAATAGACTGCAGTTAATGTAAAATGATGTCATAAAGTGATCGTCAACAATACATCAAGAACTGCAGTTTCTTGCAAATTTCACTTTATTACATAAGTCAGGTTCGTCTAACTTCTACCAAGGACTATCTGAGTATAGTCCTTCTTTTGCACTTATGACAATTTTCTGGAACTTTCACACATTAGAACCATTAACAATGTAGTTGAGAGGGAGTATCAAGACTACGATCATGTTGACGATAAAGCAGCCTTACCAAGTTCAAATGAAGAGTTTTATGGTTTAGATAACGTCACTAATTCGATTAATTTAACATCTAGTACCGATTAGATCTTAGATACTATAGGCATTGGACTATTTTATTATACGATACAATCATTCGAGCTTATGGACTCGGCCTAAATGGTTATTATTTGTTTTATCAAGCGATCAGTGTCGTAGTTGTTGGAATATGCAATTTAGAAATTAATAGAAATAAATAATAAGTGTTGGATTGGTATATCTTATTTACTTGGCTATGGTAATGGTGATGGCATATCTGATAGACTTGCTAATGCTTAGAGTAGACAAAAAATGATTGCAGTATCATTATTAGCAAGATTGATTAGCCCGTTAGCGAGTGTTTTCACGTATTAAAGTAGCAAGTTTAAGATATATCAGCGACTCTTCACTATCAAGTACCAAATGCTTTGCTGTTACAATCTTCCTACTTACCATGACAAAAGACGAGTTATTTAAATTATGCCAAAGAACCATCCGGACAATAATCTTTCCTTCTTTGAAATAACCGATAATTCGCAAGGGCATGATGGATTTTATTCATATCAAAGTTGGGTCCCACATAGATTAATAATAGATTTAAATCACTTTATCCATACCAGTAGCAAGATATTATCTTCATTCATATTGTTTCGATTCTGCAAACATGACTTAATGATAGTGTTCATTGTATTACTAATCCATTTGGGATTAAGAAGCGATTGATAAGATTTTCTTCATGGAGAACGTTGTTGGTTTTAATTTAAATCGACGAAGGGTTGTGTATGATACAGGAAACTTCACTCTTACGAGTAATTTTCTTTCTTATGCATTGTACATACTAGTCCTGGGAGATACGGGAAATTTCGAAATTACGTGCAAACTGCAAAGTTACACAGTATGATCTACAGCACTACTGCATATGTACACTGTTCTTACTCTTCTTCTGAAGAGCGTTTCCGCTACAGTACAAATGAGACTTATGTATACAGTACAGTACAGTACTGTTACATGTCGTTACGTAGTGCATTATTAATAACGGGGGATATGCATGGTTAGTTACACAGTCTGTGCAGTACAGTACAGTACACTGAGTACAGTATAGTGTACAGTACTACAGGACCAGGACCACTTTCTGTTGGTACAGTACGTTGGTACCATAAATTCGAAATTTCCCGCATCTCCCTGGACAATATCGCTCATATGTACGTTTTAGCTGTCATAGTCACATTTAATCGTTCTTTATCGTTGTATCAGCTATTAGAAAGGAACATTGATCAATTCTTAAAATAAAATTCTTACGATTAAGATGGTGATCGTAAGCTGCGTGTTCGTTTCCTGTCTTATTTTTTGACGAATTTAATCACTGTATTTCTATATCGGTTGATTTTATATAGCTATCGACAAATATGACGATCGAGAATCAATTCGAAGAGAGAGAAGACGGTGAAGAAACGGCTTTAATAAGTGATATTGATGAAAACGCCGGTTCAGATTGTACCATTGATTCGAATGATTTAATATCAAGTATCGATGATATAGTAGAAAACATCGACGTCGGATTATTTCACTATTTAATTATTTTATCGTGTGGTCTTTGCTATGGAGGATATAATGTCTACTTTCAAGCAATGGGATACATTATTATTTCTGCTTGTGATTTAGATATCAATATAAGTAACAGGGGATGGTTAAGTCTATCGATGATGATTAGCCTGACTCTTAGTGTTGGTATATTCGGCAGATTGGCTGATGCTTACGGTAGAAGAAAAATTCTTCTATTTTCTTTGACGATCAATTTAATAGCTATGCTACTCTCTGCATTTGCTTATAACTATAACATGCTAGTGATTTTGGCAGCAATAATAGGATGCTCACACGCAGGTCTATTAGCAACTATCTACAATTATTTAATGGAATTTTTCCCTCGACAGTATAGAGGGATCGCTGGTGCATGTATGAGTTCATTTCTAATCTTCGAGAGTTTACTTGGCTCTACTGTTGCGTTTTTTACATTGCCGCATTCATTCTACAAGATAGGAGGGATTTATTTTTCGAGTTGGCGTCTTTATCTTATCATCGTTATGATACCCACATTAATTGGCTATTGTATATTGCTTTTTCTACCTGATAGTTTACGATTTACGTTGGCAAAATCCGAAAGGAAAAAGGCTGAGTTCGTATTAAAAAAAATCAATCGAATTAATTCGTGTTTCAAATGTAGGAATGATTTACATAAGCAATACGCGTTACCTTTGACATCACTTCATCCTCGCGCAAGTAATCGTAAAGAGAATAATAGCAAAACCAGCCGATTTCGACATGAATTAGAACACTTTCGATTTTTTGGAAAACAGCCATGGCTTCGACGATTGTTACTACTATCAGTGGGATGGTTTGGATTTTGTTTCGGCGATCAAGGATTTTCGATATGGCTTCCGAGTGCCGTTTCTTATTATACAAGCGGAAAAACATGTTGGCATAGTCATCAACATGTTCATAACATATCGCATAATGCAATGCATAGTCTACATCTTAATAGTTCAGCTTGTCAAAATGGTGAGAAATTAAAAACAGTCATTATAGATATTTTAATTGGAAACTTACTATCGTTACCTGTCGCTATCGGATGTCTTTTATTAATTAACCGTGTGGGTCGAAAATGGCTCTATTTTCCTATGATAACAATATGTGCATTGAGCATTTTATTAATGGTTGTAATAGACAACGTATACGGAGCATTAATCTTGGGATGTGTATTTACGTCGATAAGTAATAACGCCTGGATACCTTATAAAACTTGGAGTGCAGAATTGTTCCCTACGAAAGTTCGATCAACATCAACTGGCATTTTAAATATAGTAGGACATACAGGATCAATATTAGGCATGACAACATTTGCTGTACTATTTAATAAGAATTGCACAGCAACTTTGATAATCTTTTCATTACTAGGCTTCCTAAGCGGATTTACTGCGTTGTTTCTACCAGATACAACTAATTTTGACATTAACTGATTGTTAATTACCATCTATTACTCTGTAACGTAATAATCCAAAAATGTACGATCTCATTGAAAGATAGAATGTATCATATATATTACGAACGTAACACCATCTAACCCTATCTCTAATTTGATGATGGCCAATCAATAAGATATAGAATGTATCAGAATTCATGGCGGTCTGGATACTTCAAGAAATATAAAAATGGACCTAAAGCAAAGGCTCTTGTTATCTACAACGATATATGTTTCAATATCTTATTAGATGACATCCATTTCGTAAATTGTACATTTGTAAACTCATCTAACCTGTTTTTTAATTGTACATAAACCTTGTACGGTACTTACTCTATAGAAAGATATTAACATTAAAATTTCAGCTCTCGTAGCAATAGATGCGCAGTAGTGGTGATATTATGATTTATTTTGATTTAAAATTTTGTAAGACAGTGTAATATTGTATTCTAAGTTGATGATATATTTAGTAATGTCTATCGTAGGTGTTGTGTTCAACATGTGATAGATATTCTCGTTAGAAGCTTAAGCATTAAATATAGCTAGCTTAGTAACCGTAATCCTTTTGAAGAGGAGCGCTACAGTGCTCACACTAGAGCTTCACATGAAAGGTGTAAACTGTTCTGTATTTGAGATGCTAATACTGAAGTGTGTAGTAAGTAAGGTGCTAAGACTGTAAACGTGGAAAGGTATATAAGCGAGTAGTTTAGTATGGTAAGATAGTTATTTCTCGTTAGAGGTCCTCAGCTAATCGATTACGTTGTATCTTCGTAAAGGAGGTTTTGTTCAATAAATCTTAATTTTCTAAAGTTTTGAAGATTCTTGATCTATCAACCTCACAAACTTCCATTTATTTTGCCTGTGAATTCAAAAATTCAATATCCGACCTTTTCGCCTTGCAAAGATTTTGATATTTACCAACTAATTTTTTAAATGGAGAACTTCTGTAATTTATTTAGTTAGACTTGCTTCTTATAATTACAGAGGCAAAGCAGACCACTGTATCTGGCATGATATTTAGTAAAATGCCGTATAAAAACATTTAATCCTGGGAAAGACCAGACTTTCGGAATCGTAAATTTAGAAAATGACCGGCCATTCTGTAAAATGACTGGTGGGTAAATCTGGAGAATGACCGGTCAATTATAAAATGACTGGTAAATATTGAGAGTGACCGGTTATTTCTAAAAATGACTGGTCAATCTAGAGAATGACCAATCATTTTATAAAATGAGTGGAAATCTAGAAAATGACCGATCCTTTTGTAAATTGACTGATAAATCTGGAGAATGACCATGCAAAAATTCAAGTTACATGACAGATTAAAAGTAAGTCGCAATCTATTTTACCATTTATTTCGTTAAGTTTACAGGATTACAACGAATTCAAAACTCCTGGTAAACATCAGAATATCTAACTTCAATTACGAAAGAGACCGTTGGTAATGTTTAAGTTAATATTTATGTCGAATTTAACTTAATGATCACGAATTAAGATTTAGATGGTTAATTTTCCCTAAGATTTATAATTAAAAATTCGCATCACAAATTCAAAATACATTTATAGCAAAAATATTAAAGCTAACCATAAGATCTCAAATATCAGAAGCCAAGTTATTTTTGCTTAAAAGATCCTTAGTCAAGTTTATTTATTTATAATTTAAGTTGTTTTGATTAACATGAATTAATGTTTATGAATTTCAAATAAGCATCACAAAATTAAGGTACGTTACCGCTAAATTAATGTATTCAGTATAGTTACCGTAACATGTATTGAAGAACTATTCGGTTTTGTTCCTGCAAGTTCTATTACTATGACATCTACTATTGCACTTCTCTTTAGCAGCGAAGCATTTACACTTGAAATTTCTACAGTTTGATTTACAGTTGCACTTAAACATTCCTTGACCGCCTGTAGCAGATTCTTTTTTAACTAATTCACGTAGCGAAATTTCAGCGCAGCTAGGGACATCTGTAGTACGAATATAACGTTCTGTGCAAACAGTAAACTGATTACGCGAGTAACGTTGCTTTAAAGTTCCGTATTTAGTGCCTAATTTGAAGAAATTGTTGCCATAGCTCTCCGTTATTACAGCTTTCACGTTACTCAAGTTGACACGTCCCCTATTTACTGCTGGCACTGGAACAAGGACAGTATCATCAATGTGAGCACTCTTGAAGCGCTTTCTAGACCTGGTCAACATCACCCTTTTCTGTTCTTCTTGTTTTCTCTTCGATTCAAGGCTTTTCTCTTTTACTCGAGCTACTTTGCAGCAAAGCAAACAAGTGACGGGTGTACCGAAGTCTTTTTCCTCTCCTAGTTCACAGCAACTTGGAAGTGCATGGCAATACTTCTTACAGCTGGAACACTGATGAGCACCGCTTGTTGGACTATTGCAAGTCACGCATACAAAGTTCGCCACTGTCGCCGTGCTTGTGCTCTCATCGACCATATCTGCAATTAAAGTATATGTTTCTATAAGTTAACAGTGTATACTTCAATTCAATGATATTAGAAAATTAATATGAGCAAGGTTCTAAATTTTCTGGACTTCTTTTAATTACTGTATTTGTACCTTCCTTGGCGGCATCTGTAATTAAGTATAATTTTCATATATACATGATTGATAAGTGTATTTATAGAAATTTGCTAGTGGTAAATGTAATTGAAATAAAACTTTATCTTCTACTTTAAGTTATGATTGAGAGTGGAAAAATGATAGATAGTATTTCATTAATTTTGTAACTGCTACACAAATTACTATTTATAAATGGTATTTAAACTTGAGTAAAACTTCTAGTAGTGAAGTTGTCTGGAGGATAAAGCGTAGAACAGTAGTTGTAGATCCAATTAAAGGACCGTAGATTGCAGTGTCACTATAGACACACCTAGACTGAATACGATGTAGGTTATGCATTTTTTTGACTGAATTCATTTGCAGAATCAGAATTCTATATTAAATCCATGAGTTTGTGGTATATTGATTGGCTTGAAAAAAGCCTGTTTGCCTTACAATATACTGTAAGTACGAGTATTTACTTCACAGTTAGTTTGAGTAATAGATCGTGCAGATATACTCGTACTCCTACAGCGTTAAAATGGCTGAGTCATAAATCCTGATCTACCCATCCTAAATTTATACAGTAATAATAATATCATACCGTTTAGAGCACTTTTTGTGCCATGAATACTGAATAGCTTATAGCTTGCATCCTACCGGGCCGTACCTAGTCATGTACTAAAAGATTAAGAAACAAAAGTCTATAGTATTAACTTCATACGGATTATGATTTTACATGAACATTTACAGATATTGGACCAAAATACAAATCTTAGTAGTATAAAGAAATTTACGTCTTAAGATAAACATGGAAAGTCATACTATCGCTTATCATACTAAACATGGCTAATAGTCTACAATCCAACACAAAGTTACGCTACATCCATATTTTAAGAATCAATCATCGTAAACTAATTATATTTTCAATATGATGCTTATAAAGCAATGCCATTGCTTTGTTATCTTTCATTATTCGAAAGTAGCGAATAAAACTTGTTGGAAACAAACTTTACAGGAAATGTCCACAACATTTTCTATAGCAATTTACTTGTTAATGAAGGAAGAATGCACAGTCATATGAAGCCTAGCGATAATAAACTGTGATTGAAAGCAAAATGGTTTACGAAAAATAGACTAAATCAACACGGTAACAATGAAAAGCTATCGTATAATATCTTAAAAATTTTTGTTTAACCAGCCTTTCTTTCACGCTTACAATAATTTTATTGAACTGTGATATTTTAAAAGTAGTTATAACCTTTAGCATAATAATACTTTTTAATCATATGTCTGATAGTGCAGTTTTATATTCAAATGATAGTAGTGATAAAATACAATAGACTAATGTACAATTAATTAATGTTAAATTGCTGTTGCTTCGTTTGCCTCTTCTATTTAGCTTAAAATATTCATTCAATTATTATATTTAAAGTTACAAGTAAGAGGACTTTCAATTACTCTAGCTTTCCGATCCAATATGACACGAGTGCATAACCGATATTAATACGCCATACAGAGACAGTGCAAATAATTTATAAATGCTATATCGCTGTAACTTTATCTTTTCTATCTTTCCATTGTGTGTATAAGGCTATTATAAGTATAAGACTACTTGTATGATGCAGAATTTTACCGTATAGGCAAGAAGCCAAGCGTTTCTCCTCTTATTTCGATAGGTGATAAAATTATCCGCGAAATGAATGGTGATTCTTCAAAAGATAAAGGAAGCCATCTTACTACCTGCAATTTTACCGTATCAGCAAACGAGCGCTTAAATTCTTCAAATTAATAAGTCTAGACAGTGACATTGTCACATGATATTTGCTTGTAATTCGCAAGGGAGTGATGGTGGTGATTATGCATGCTGATGTTGAATTTAATATCTATAGTAATATAGACGCATGTAATGAGACGTATGGAAATTTGGTCCTGTGTATATTTAAAATCTTTTAAATAGTGGTGTCAAACTTTAAATCTTGATTACTTTACCTAATTTTTTGCTATATTAGTAATATATATATATATATATATATATATAGCCATTACAATTATACGTTGCAGTCTAAATTACAATCTGGCTTTTGGAAAATATGACGAACGAAAACGAGTGCAACGATAACTATGATTATGATACCAAACATTTAATAAGTGATGACGAAGAAAATTCTGGTGCAGGATGTGCGATGGATTCGAATGGTTTGACGTCTAGTATAGACGACATTGTTGACAATTTAAAAGTTGGACTATTTCATTATTTAATGGTATTATCGTGCGGTCTATGTTTTGCTGGATATAACATATATTACCAAGCCATTGGTTTTATTATTATTTCGGCGTGTGATTTAGATATTGATGCAAGTAACAAGGGATGGCTAAGTTTATCACTGATGATTGGTTTTACTCTTGGGGTTGGCGTACTTGGTAGAATGGCTGATGCTTATGGTAGACGAAAAATTTTTATTTTTTCTGTGACGATAAATTTAATGTCGATGTTTGCATCAGTATTTGCTTATAACTATAATATGTTAGTGGTTATGGCTGCAATAATTGGATGTTCACACAGCGGTCTAGCAGTAACCATCCATACTTACGTTATAGAATTTTTCCCTCGACGTCAGAGAGGATTAGCTGCTGGAAGCATGGTTGCATTCTTAATCTTAGGAAGTTTGTTTAGCTCGACTGTTGCCTTAATTACTTTACCTCATCCATTTTATAAACGCATAGGTGGTATCAATTTTTCAAGTTGGCGACTATATCTTCTTATTGATATCATACCCATACTAATTGGATATTGCATTCTGCTTTTCATGCCAGATAGTTTACGATTTGCGTTAGTAAAGTCCGAAAAGAAAAGCATAAAGCTTGTGCTAGATAAAATTGATCGAATTAATTCATTTTGTAAATGTAGTAATGATAAAGATAAGCAATATCAGTTGCTTTCGATACCAGATCATGTTAGCCTAGGCGATAGCAAGGAGCACACAAACAAGAATCGATTCCAAAATGAAATAGAACACTTTCGCTTGTTCACTAAAAGGCCATGGCTTCAACGATTGTTATTTTTATCGGTCGGATGGTTCGGAAATTGTTTCAGTGATCAGGGGTTTTCCATATGGCTTCCAACTGTCGTTTCTTATTATACAAGTGGTAAAACATGTTGGCATAACAATCACGAAATGCTTAATTCATCATGGGAAGCAAATCATCCTATACTTCCTGATGTGTCCTTTTGTCAAACTGGTGAGAGCTTAAAAAAAGTTATTACGGATATCCTAATTGGAAATTTGTTTTCTATACCTGTAGCTATTATATGCTTACTATTGGTGAATCGTGCCGGTCGAAAATGGCTTTACTGCCCAATGATAACCATTTGTGGATTGAGCATTTTATTAATGCTGCTAATAGATAATGAACTAAGTGTATTGATATTGGGATGCTTATTTACATCGATCAGTAACAACGTATGGATAGCTTATAAAACTTGGAGTTCAGAGTTATTCCCTACTACGGTTCGATCAACCGCTATTGGTATTTTAAACTTAATAGGACATACGGGATCAATATTAGGCATGACAATCTTTGCTTTACTATTTTATAAGAGTTGTACAGCAACTTTAATAATTTTTTCATTTCTGGGTCTATTAAGCGGGTTTGCAGCATTATTTCTGTCTGATACAACTAATGTTGATATCAGTTAATTATTTTTTGGAAAATATTTTCAACAAATATAAGCACTGTATTCATTTAAAATTATACGCGTATACTATAAACTTCTGTAATGAGGAGTCATCCAGTAGCACCGATAATTATTTTACCTTGTGATATTTTCGTTATGCAGGTGGCCTTAACTTTAGATTATTATAAAATAATTAGACATTATCAATCTTAATTATAATACTACTGATACATTCACATATTGCTAATATTTTAGGCCTCTACTCCATTGTTAATATTATACATACAGAGAGGGAGAGGAATTAAATAAAGTCTACAATCTGCAAGGGAAATAAATGTAATGGCACGAAAGCGAATTGCTTTATTCATAATAAAGGTAATTGCCAGAGAGCATTTAAACTATTCAATTTTACTAAATAATTAAAGACGACGCTATTTATATTGTAAGTGAACTAATGGATAATAATGGCATCATAAACTGTTTAAAGCTTGTGTCACGTTAAAAACTTGCTCAATTTTAATAACTCAGAATTTGAGTTCGACGACTGCGAACGTAAGGGGTAGTAAAACCTAAGCACTACACTGTTAAAGATAGATTATCTAATACTGATTTTTCTGCAACAAATAATACTATATAGAATATCAGTAAATTCTAGATTTGAGTGATATAATCTTGCTATGTACGTCCGATAACGCACTTAAAATTACTCCTAAGGTGGTGAATTTGCTATAAGAAATCGTAGGCGTTAATTAAATATAATTTAATTGGATTTACTACTGCTTTGTAATCAAGAGTTAATTATAGTATAACCTTGATGTAAACGACGGTAAACTCTCTATAGTAAGTGATAATTTGCTAAATAAGATTTATATGGCATTTTTAACCAATAATGTTGACCAACAGCAATAATAATTTTGGACGCCAAAGACAACAAATCTTAGAAGATGGACTAATATGTGAAAAGCTATCTTGATTTGATAATCTCTTGAATGATGTGAAATTAAAAAATATGAGCAAAAATAGAAGCTTTATTCCATCTTCAGTAGATAATAAAGTTACCCATCAGGTAAACACGGCAGCGATTCTTTAAGTGATAAGGGTAACTATCAACAATCTTTGTCTTTACCATATCTGGAAAAGAGCGATTGAATTATTTCAATTTAGAAACCTAGATAATAGTATTGTCATAGGATATCTACTCGTAATTCGTAAACTGATGTTAGCGATTAAATCATAAAGTCAAGTTCAGTTTAAAACAAAGATAAATTAGTATTTTAGTATGTTTGCATATACCTATTTCTATGAATTCGATTTAAATTTGCATTGTTAAGCTACTGGTGTTATCGATTGACTAATTGTACGCAATGGGAATTTGTATAGAATCAATGTATTCTATTTCAGAAAATCATATAATCATAGTCGCATTCAAGGCTCAGTATAATACCCCACGGGATAAAAAATGATTGGTTATGCAGTATACAAAAATTTTAGAGTTACTTTAACGATATAGTAACTGTGTACTGATTTCTGCCAGTTATAGCAATTGTGTTTTCTTAATTTAGATTACAACAGACACGAGAGATTGAGAATCTTAGGGGCTAAAAATCCATTTCGTAAAGATTGTAGACTTTAATATTTTAGTTTTAGCGATATTTCAGTCTGTTAACTATGCAGCTTATGAAGTGATCACAATTACATAATCTAATTTAGGGATTCATTTATTCTTAAATGCGAGCATGGCCATCAAGGAAGAGTGTATTGGCGGCAACGACGATGACAATACAAAGAAATTAAAAAGTGATGAAGAAGCTGGCTTTGATTCAGATTCTACGATAGATCCGAATAATTCGATATCGAGTATGGACGAAATTGTTGAGGATATACAGATTGGATTATTCCATTACTTGATTCTAATATCATGCGGCCTTTGCTTTGCTGGATATAGTATATATTACCAAGCGATCGGTTTTATAATTATTTCGGCATGTGATTTAGATATTAATACAAGTAATAGGGGTTGGTTAAGTATGTCATTGGTGATCGGGTTTGCTCTTGGCGTTGGCGTACTTGGTAGAATGGCTGATATTTATGGTAGAAGAAGAATTCTTCTTTTCTCTTTAACAATAAATGTCATATCGATGTTAGCTTCTGCATTTGCTTTTAACTATAACATGTTAGTGGTTATGGCTTCGATAATTGGATGTTCACACGGCGGCCTTGCAGTATCTGTTCATACTTACGTAGTTGAGTTTTTCCCTCGACGTTATAGAGGTATAGCGGCTGGAAGTATGATTGGATTCTTAATCTTAGGAAGCTTATTTAGTTCGACTATCGCTTTACTTATTTTACCTCATCCTTTTTATAAACGTATGGGAAACATCTATTTTTCAAGTTGGCGACTATATCTTCTCATTAATATTATTCCCATGTTGATTGGTTACTGCATAATGCCTTGCATGCCTGATAGTATACGATTTGCATTGGAAAAATCTGAAAGGAAAACTGTAGGGCTTGTACTAGATAAAATTAATCGTATAAATTCTTGCTGCCAAAATGATAAAATTTTTCCAAAACAATACACCATGCCTTTGATACCAATTTCTGATCATCTTGACGATCAGAATAAGATGGCAGTTAAGAATGGACTCCAAAACGAAATAGGACACTTTCAACTTTTTTTAAAACCACCATATCTTCAGCGATTTCTATTACTATCTATTGGATGGTTCGGATTTTGTTTCAGTGATCAAGGATTTACCATATGGCTTCCAACTGTCGTTTCTTATTATACAAGTGGTAAAGTATGTAGGCATAGCCATCATCAAATACATAACGTTTCCCAAAAGGCAATGCATGATCTAGGTTTTGATAGTTTCCACTGTCAAGTTGGTGAGAACTTGAAAAAAGTCATTATGGATATCTTATTTGGAAATTTATTTTCTATACCTATTGCTATCATGTGTCTATTATTGGTGAACCGCATCGGTCGAAAATGGCTTTATTGGCCAATGATAACATTTTGTGGATTTTGTATTTTATTAATACTGCTAATAGATAACGAATTAAGTGCATTGATCTTGGGGAGTTTATTTACATCGATTAGCAACAACACCTGGATACCATATAAAACTTGGAGTTCGGAATTATTTCCTACAAAGGTTCGATCAACAGCTATCGGCATTTTCAATGTAATAGGGCACACAGGATCCATATTAGCTATGATAACATTCTCTTTATTGTTTCATAAGAATTGTACCGCAACTTTGATAATATTTTCATCGTTAGGTCTGCTAACTGGATTAGCAGGGTTATTTCTACCGGACACAACTAATGCTGATATTGATTAATTATTTCTGCTAAAGCAGATTCTAAAAATATTACTTATCCATAGTAAACCGATGTACCATACTGTGGAATCTCACAGTACCAATAATATTTTGTTCGCTAATAGATTATTGTTACACATACAGCGTCAAATCTTGTTCATTAGAAAATAATGGAGCAAATTCTTTCCTTAATTATGATACTATATGCCTATTGATATCATTTATTGAACCTGAACTAAGTTGTAGATTGGTATATGTTGAATAGTTAATAACTTATTTTGATTCTGCTTATCTCCAAGCGATAAGTGGTTTTAGAATGCAATATGTAGGTGATTCTCAAGACTATGTAAAATCGGTATTATAGTTCAACTTTGTTTGTATATGTCTAAATAAAGTTCAATGTATGTAGAATTAGGTATCATTTCAGCAATATTTAGCCTGCATGTAATTCGATGACAATAATATCCTGTATAGACTATGTTCAATTTTTGTATTAAGCATACGCATAATTAATTTACACTAACTTTGATTATATATTTTTACCATTGGCTTGCATAAATCGCAAACATTGTTAAAGACGATAGACAATGTAAGCCAATGGTGAAGTAAGTAAATTCTCCGTTTTTTAGAATCCATTATCTTATTAGTGTTTTATTATTATAACAAGTCTGATAAGGTGGTAATATTCTTATCTTATGAAAAAACTTCTCACGAAATAGCTTTTGTGATCAGACCTAAACTAGTCTATCTACTTTACTTAATCTCCGACTAACTTCGGAAATATTCTAGACAAGAAAACTAACCTATTCTAATATTAGAGAATTGAATCTAACAATAGGGATTTGGGTTAATTAAATTTTGTTTGCTACTAGCTATATTATATTAGTACAGTGGATTCTACGCTAGCCTCAATTCAATTATGCATTGCTACGGAAAGAGCAATAGTATTATGTTATAGTCCTACGGGAAGTTTCTTGATAGTTTTGACAGATCTATTCTTTTATTATGGATGTAATATTTTAAAAGATTTAGTATGCTTTAAAGATCTTAATGCAAAGTCTGATCATGATATAGTGTGTGATCGCATTTAATTTAGATGAATAGAATCATACTTTTTATAAAATTCTATATAAATTCTTTAACTAAATACAGTTAGTAGCGAATAATTCAGATCAAGCATCTTTTGAATTGAAATGTTAACAATGTAACGCATTTCATCACAGTTTATATTTCCTATGACAGAAAGATGATTAGGATAGGCATAATCCTCGGGGGAAAAGATATTGATAATGACTGATTGAAATGTTGATTTCTTCTCGTAACCCAGCAGAATTAGCTTATTACTAAGTAAAATCTATTTACGTTTCAATACAGTCCTGATTGCAAAGTTCGTACTAATAGCACCATAGTTTTTCTAAAATTGAAATTAGATATTCTATGTTTAGTAATACTACTAATGCTGATTTGATTATAAGTTAAGTCACTTCATCTATTTGCAAACTTGTATGGGAAAATGGGTTTCGAGGGATTGGACAGTGAACAAGACAAAATTAACGATAAAACAGCATTACTAAGCGAATCAGAGGGTAATTTCAATTGTGAATCTATTACTTCGTCGTCAAGTGTGGATGAAATCGTTGATAGCTTAGACATTGGATTATTTCATTATGCTATATTTATAACCAGTGGACTTTGCCATTCTGGATATAATATATTTTATAACATCGTTGGTTTTATAGTTATAACTGCCTGTGATATAGGTATAAACCAAAGCAATAAAGGTTGGCTAAGTATATCTTTTATGGTCGGCATTGCAGTTGGTTCAGTCGTCTTGGGTAAATTAAGTGATACCCTAGGTCGACGAAAAATTCTAATCATTTCTATATCCGTCTACTTAATAATGATCGTAGTAGCTGCTTTTGCTTACAACTATACTATGTTAGTCATCGTGGCTTCGATAATTGGCTTTGCTGATAGTGCTATGGCTGCTATCAGTGGTTCGTACGCGTTGGAATTTTTCCCTCGACCATTTAGAGGGAAGTTGCTCGGATGTCGTACAGCTATAGCTGTAATAATTGGAGGCCTTTATTGTTCTTTAATGGCGTTAGTTATATTGCCTCATCCACTTCATATCAAATTAGGCCAGATCCATTTTTCTAGCTGGCGTGTGTATCTTCTAGTAACTAATATACCAGTTCTATTCGGTTTTTGTCTTCTACTCTACATGCCGAATAGTATACGATTTGCAATAGTTAACAAAGACGGTATTAAACCTATTTTAGATAAAATAGATCGAATCAATTCAATTTGTAAACGAAATGGCTCTTCATCTGAAAAGTTAATTAAATCAAGGTTAGGCGACATAGTTATAAGAGGCGATGAAATGGATGAGTCTAATACTAAAAAGCAAAAAGGCGAAAAATTATATCAGCAACCATGGCTTAAGCGATTACTATTATTATCAGCAGCGTGGATGGGTTACTGTTTCAGTCAAGAAGGCTTAATTGTATGGCTACCGACCGTGGTTTCATATTATACTATGGGTAAACGATGTTGGCATACTTATAATCAAACTTCGCCGTCCCCTTTGAATCATCATTTGTATACCAATAGTCCAGTATGTGTCAGTACTGAGCAAATAACAAGTGTCAGTGTTAACATTTTAATTGGTAATGTACTAACTATACCCCTTTCGATTGCATGTATTACGCTAGTCAATCGAGTAGGTCGAAAATGGTTATTCATCATTTTAGTCTTTGTTGCTGTATTTTCTATAGCTGCAATGCTAATAATCGATGATATCATAGCAGTCAGGATCCTTGTGTGTGTTTTTACGATGGTTGCAAATAACGGATGGATTCCTTTAGCTACCTGGACTTTAGAATTGTTTCCAACGCATGTAAGGTCGACTGCTATGGGTATATTAAATTTTTCTGCCATTAGCTCTTGTATTTTAGGTATGTTTATATTTGCTGAACTCTTTAACCTAAATTGTACAGCTTGCTTGATACTGTTTGCATTGATAGGACTGTTAGGCGGTGTAGTATCACTATTTCTACCAGATACTAGCGATATGAATATCGGATAATGTATCATAATATAATTGATAGATAAAATTAAATGGTATTGAGGTTGTCTTAAAGGACAAGATTACTATTGCAACTGTTTTGATGTTGTTCGACCATAATGATTGATCATTATTCAATAACATTATTAAAATATTTTCTCTAGTCCCGTTATCAAGTAATAAGTGATTATTGCCGGGTAAAAACAGTATGATGACTGTAAATGTACTACTCATATTGCAGATTTTTTCGGAGAACTTGTCCTAATTAATATTATGCCGATATTTTTGTCATTTCTATTGGTTTAATCCTTCATAGAAAACATCAAAATATTTGTTTTAAACGAATCTGGGCGTATAAAATTTTTCAAATATTAAGATGAATCTGTGTTGTAGGAGTGTATAATACTAAAAGAAATGGCAATGGATGTAATCGCTATCGCTATTTACATGTAATGATAACTTTTGACACTTCAATTAGTCATTACGCATTACCAAGTTGCCCCTAAATGAACTTGAACTCTTGAAGTGATTCTTTAATAATTTCACTAACTTCAGTTGTCATCGCTATTTACTCGGATTTTTAATAAGAAATTGTAATAAAGGGAGGCCGTCTCTTTTTAGCTAATCACTTCTACATAAGTATTAACGCAAAAACTAGAGTTTCAATAACCTACAGGCAACAGGCATTGAATCGGTTTTTAAAAGTCATAGTACAGTACTGTATATTACAGTCTTATCATCGTTTTGCATCAGACGGACACCGAAGAGACAGTTCTATTACAGTACATAGTACTCAGGAAGGACAACTCAGTACTGTACACTGTACTGTACGGTGATCGACTACTGTACAGTGTACAGTGTACAGTACACTCAGTACAGTACAGTCTTATCATCGTCTTGCATCAGACGGACACCGAAGAGACAATACTACTACATTACTGTACTGTACTGTACAGTTACTGAACAGTCTTCAACGGAATCCTACAGTGTTTCCGTTACTTGGTTACCTGAAGGACAGTGACCGGCGTAAAGTCCTCGCTGGACTGGATCATCTAGCCAGCTGCAACTGGACACCTGCAATATTCATTGCAAATTCGGCCGCTTTGTAGGGGATCATTCCATCATTCACAAATCGAAATCTGCATTGGTGTCAGCATCAAGGAGTAGTTTTACTCTTGTGATTGGTCATTTATTGCATTGGCTAGCGGTACATTCCTGCTTAGCTCATCCATTCAATGTAGCCTATCATGAGGTGTTACTACGAAGTTTTGGGAGTGGAAAGAACAGCCACTACGCAAGAATTGAAAAAGGCTTATAGGAAACTGGCTTTAAAATATCATCCAGGTAATCGATGCTGGTGATAAGTCGACAGTTATTTAAAATAGAATAGAATCTATCCACTTCTTACTTGCTTAATAACCCTACTTTATGCTGAGTTAAGAATGATATGAGAAGGATATTCAGAATCATGGATTTTTTAGCAAACTAGCATTGGCTGTAGTTTCATTCATTTTGCTGCATCAGCAAAATGAATGTATTCTACAGTATTAATTCCTTTTTCAGAATAGTATCAACTCCTATATAATTTTAGGATGAATAATAAATAAAGACCATCTACATGCATTTTTTTCCCCCTTACTTACTTTATCATACTGAAAAAAAAATAAAATCAATGAATTCAAACTACAACCATTCCTGACCAAATTGTAAATGATATTCTGAACAGTGTACAGTGTGTAATACAACACCAATAGGAGTTCAATGAATCAAATAGTTGTATCGGATCGCATTAAATTGCAGTTATTTTTCGTTACGCTGATCACGTCCAAGGTGATCGTTGAATGTATTCGGTCTGTCTATGCGCAGTAATATGATCCACAAACCAGGTAGATTGATGCGTTACTTCAATCCCAGAATGACCGAATACATTGAGCACAAGTACAAGTAGAAGCATACTACTGATTCTCAAGGTGATATGGTAATACTGTTCTCATCGCTACTCGTCTATCTTCCAGTTTATACCTAGCATTGGTTAGTGTAAATCATATAGTATTTTCGTAAATGTCAATAACATGGAACACAAGTACACTTTAATACCATATTAATCAACGATCGCATACTCTAATGACGAGGCAACGTATACATCAAGTACATAAACAACAAGCTAGGATGATCAATCAACTAGTAGAAATTAATCGATCACATTAATTATATCTTTGGTCAAACAGCACTTCATTCAGAACAGGACTGATGTATTATAGATATTTCTCAAGTATTACTACTAATATTGATACAGAAACAACCATCCAATGGATATCTAAATTATCCAATATTGTTAAACTAGCTGGCAATCAGTATACTGTATTCACAGATAATTCCATATAAGCATTTGATATTCAAACACTACTTTGGGTATAATAATACTTTTAGCCGGTTAGAATGGATTGTGGTAAGCTATCACTCTACTCAAAGTCTTGCACTAGAAAAGTTAATTTAAGCCATTTAAATAGCAATCAATTACCATGACATCTTTTATAATAGTATCAGAATCATCGCTATGTATGTGACAATAGTCGCTCATGGCAGATTAAGTACGATAGTAATTTCAGTCGCTTGCTCGTATTAGATATTAAATGTCGATTAATTCTGTCGCGTTGATGGTAATGTGATATTATTCAGTTTTCGATAACACTTACGTAGGCATTGGATATAGGCACTTGTTTATCATACAGATTACTCACAAAGGTTTTTCTCGGTATTTCTTACTAATCAATATATAGATAAAAATATTAATCAGGCTGAAGAATATACTCAACTATTTACTGAAATTTTACGAGCATATGAAGTTCTCTCCGATCCTCATGAACGAGCTTGGTATGTCAATGATTAAGTTGTAAAGATTTCTTACTCTTTCAAGTGCCAATGATCTCACGACTTATAATACTGGGTAGCAACCGTAATTTATATGTATCGATTAAAATTTTGTTAACTTTGGAATAAATAAGATTTCGTCATCAATTTTTATATTAATCTAGCTTCATGTAGAGTGAAAACTTTAACGTTAGTGTAATCTACATTAACCTAAGTGGTCATTTTCAAACTATATCCTTGTATATATGACTTGCGAATAAATGGATAAGCATAGTTTTTGTATTTTACTTGCTCAACTAGCTTACTACACAATTTAGCTGACACTTCATTACTTTCTATGATACAGAAGGGAATTATTATTAATGATATTACTAATTAATCAGGAATGTTTAGTTTAAAAACTTGATTTATGATACGAAGGTTTTATGCGCCATTTAAAACGAAGATTTTGCAACTTAATTTGATTGTAATGTTTAATGTATAGTCGCTATTTAATCTATCATCAGGTACGATAAACACCGTGAAACTCTTTTACACGAAGGTAAATAGATTTCAACCAAATTGTGTAGCAGCTAAATCAGAAAATTTTTTATTAATGTTTAAAGGAATGTCTACATTTATTTAATTAATTCGATTTTTCTCGTCGCTTTTTTAATACCTTTGCTGTATCAGTAATAATAGTTCTTAAGATTGAATATAGTCACATCGTAGACTTTGCACATAGATCACGCATCTTTCTAGAACAAGGTCTTACAATTTAATGATTTTCAAATCGATTATTCAAATGTAATTGTCTTTTGGCTTAAAATCAGGTTGATTACCTATTCTTTTGAGCGGTAGTCTCTTATTGTGATCATGGCGTTGAATCCATGCTTGATAATTTACACTAGTAAAGTCTAGTATGTCCTTTCATTAATACCTTTCCTTGTTCTTCATGTTATAGGAGAGGACTATGTGCACGATTCTCTGAATCTTATGCAATTCTTTAAATCTAGTGCATATAATGGCTACGGAGACGATGAGAAGGTTCCTAGTATTTAAAATAATAAGCTTATGAAATTGTTAGATTAGAATTCGATTATGGAATCTGATAGCAGCTAGTTATCATAGACTTTATATTCCTTTGCATATTTGTTACGGCAGGCCTTAAGACTGATTTTGTCCGTAAGATTCGTAACGTTGGTTGCGACCAATCTTAAGGACGAAATCAGTCTCTGAAAGGGTAATAACGCATTAACTTAAAAATATATTAGTGGTATTTGAGCTGCATAGGTTGAAATTCTCTGTACACTCGCACGAATCTTGTTATACAATGTGATCCGTTTTCTACGACATGTTTAAATTTTAAAATCTATAAGTGAAACGCTTAAAAAAGACCAATCTTTATGAACCTTGCTATACAGATAGGTCTCTTATTATAGAAAGTCACCTTCCAATTGATTAATCTTTATCCCGATGAAAATTAGCTTAATTAAAAGCTATCCGTACATATTAAAACCATGCATTTGCGATCAATTTTATACACATTGATGCAAAAATTTCAATATCGAATGTATCGGATCACGTCATACCTGATCTGCAGTTACGGACATTTTCACGATGTGAACTGTAACTGATATCAATAATTGATCAATTAGGGATTCTATGCAGTTTTTCAATATGTTTTTGAAACAATTGCAAAGGAAGAAGAGCCATATAAAGAAAGTGAGGAATCTGCTCCCAGCTTCGGTAAGCTGTTAACCATTTTGCAATGAATTACATAAACTAATTGATGCGAGTGATCTTGCTTTTCACACGATTAGGCATAGTGTAACACTAATAGTTGTATTTATTTCTAAAAAATGTTTTATTAATGGCACTTTTGGTAATACAGGATTTTCCAACAGTGACTATGATGAGGTATAGTTGTAAATCATTAAATCTCTTTGCCTTACTACTGATTTTAGCCATGATCTATTAGGGTTACAGGTGATAAAGATTATACGAATCTATTACTCTATAATGCATAGGTTGTTCGCGTATTTTATGCTTACTGGCAAAGTTATAGCAGTGCATTTTCTTTTGTGTGGCTGGAAGAATACGACACTAGGCAGGTAAATAGTCTATTCGCTGGTCTATAAACGTTTATATTATTATTTTTTATTTAGCAATTAATTACTGTCACGATGTGACTTCTAACATCCTTAAAAGTAATAAAATATGAAATTATAAAATGCTATCAAGGCACCGAATAGAAGAACACAACGCTTAATGGAAAAAGAAAATAAAAAGTTACGAGATGCTGCTCGAAAGGAGCGCAATGAAAATATTAGGGTAATTATAATAAGGAGATTTAATGTTGGTCTTAATTAACTACTTTCTATACCTAAATAGAATGTAACGTTTCGTCCTAACTTAGGAACTTGTTGCTTATTTGAGGAAACGAGATAAGAGAGTTAAAGCACATTTGGTATACAGCCGAAATAGTATTCGTTTATTGAATTGCTCATAGGTTTCTGTACGTTTCATTATTGCCTGCGATAGTACCTTTACAGTTATTTATTTCGGAAACATAGGAACTTATGAAAAAACAACGACTAGAAAAGGAAGAGGCCTTCAAGAAAAAGCAATTAGAAGAGAAGAGACGAAAAGCAGAGTAAATAAACTATTCTGTATTGCAAAAGTAATGTCTATACTTGTAATTATGAATTATATTTAAATTTGCTTATTTGACCTCTGGAAGACTTTCAAAGGCATATCAAGAGCAAGAATGGACTGCTACATCTGAGAAGGTATATTCATCGCCAACAGTTTCCTTCTCTATTGATTGAAATTTGTAGTTAGTATTGTAATGTTTGCGAATGGATTTCCTGCAGGACTTCGTGGATATTGAGTCAGCTCTTGATGATGAGTTTGGCGGAGGAAAGCGAAATGATGATAGTTGTAAGTTCTTTCAATCTCTCAATCATAATATCGATAGAAAGTTTGTTTTAAATTTGTGCTTACATTAAATCGATTTCATAACCTGATTTGGCAGCTGGTAGCGACGTTGCGGGCGATGGCTATAACTGCATTGTATGCAATAAATTCTTTAAAACTATTAAGGCGTAAGTCATTTATGAGGTATATGTCGTACAATTTTTTAAGGTTAAAATATCATCACAGGTGAAGTATACTCTTCTATCTCATAGCTTTCGAAATCACGAAAGATCACGGAAGCATCAGGAATTACTGGCATTGCTTGTAGATGAATTAGAAGAAGAGGATGCGATATTTGCTGATGAGCAAAGTGGTAACATAAACAAACAAATGGTTTATTTTTAGCCGGCTTAAATACTTAGCATAGCTGTACCATTGCCTGACATAAATGACTGCAATCTTGTTTATCAGATACCGAAGCACTTGAATTAACAAATGATTCAACTAGTGCGCCAGATGCAAGGTTTTTAGAAATGAAATAACCGTGCCGTAAATGTTGTATTAAATTGACTAAACATAAATCATTTTTACTGAAATAAACTACGCCAGATCCAAGGATCTGAGTGACGATGAGAAATTATTGGATAAAGTGCCAAATTTAAGGTAAGGTATAAATTGAAGACGATAATAAGTAGTCATTATTGAATAACATTGATGCATATGCTCATCTGTAACCAATGGTTTTACTCAGTTTTATAATTCATTTACGGCTTATGTGCTTATGCTAATGTTTAAGTCATGTAAAAGTTCTAACAGGTCCACGGAAGGAAGTGAAAATGATGATATAGTTACGAAAATGTCGAAAGTTAGGTAACTTAATACTTTACATCAAAATAGCTAGATGCTTATCGAGAAGTGCGTTGATAAACTGTATGAAATCAGGGTAGCTGTTACTATTTGTATCTGTCTTAATGGCATTAGTAATTATCGAATATATAATTTACTCTTTTGTGTTTATTTTTTTTGTTTCTTTAAAATTTAAATGTAGTCTATCTAAGAAACAACGGAAAAAGAAACGAAGACAGGATCAGGTCAGAGAGCAGTCAGCTGCATTGATGAAATTATTTCTGAAGTTTTTATGCGATGGCGCTACTATCTGGTTTTATTTATCTTAAATTAATTTATAAATCGTATCACTTTATTTTGTAGTTGATATTGAGTAGAGTATAGAATAATATAAGTAATTATTAAATTAGAGAGTTTTAATTAGATGTTTAAGGAGTCTACTGCGGCACACGGCGAAATAATGGAAGACAAAGATGATTCGCAACCTATTCTAGAAGCCGAAGATAAAACTGATAATGTGAATACTTCTGCGGAAATTGGAAGGTGAGCTAAACACCTATTTACAGGGATTGTCTTCTATCTGCATGAAAATTTATCAATTATGTTATCATTGGTTATTACATAGTACTACAAAGGCAAAGAAATTAAAAGGAAAAAAGGCTAAGGAAGCTCGAAAAGCTCGTAGAGGAGCCGAGGCGGCGAACGAAAAGGTAGCAGTCAAATTTCATCGTCAAAAGTGTTTCAGATTAATATCGACAAGCTTATTTTCTCACGCATAAGAAAGTACTTTTATCACTTCGAAAATTCTGATTCTAAACTATGTCTTATCTAATACAGGAAGAACATAGTGAAGAAACTGCTATACAAATAAAGTGTAATAAATGCATGCAAGTATTTTCAACGCGCAATAAATTATTTCAGCATATAAAAGAAACTGGTCACGCCCTAAATACATCACATGAACATAGGTTGGAAGAAGAAGTTCGTGATCGTAGTACAAAAAGGAGACGAAAGAAACGGTCATAAATATTGCAACTACTTAATCGATATTCAAATTTATGCAATTATTTTAAGATTGGTATTAGATAAATAATACGAAAAAATTTCTATATTCATTTGTTGTAATGTCAGAAAATAACTAATAAAAATTTGTTGAAATCTAATTTTGAAATTATGCGTTGTAAATTTTTTAAAATTTCTTCGTAAGTGGCCAACATATTGGAAGTATTCGATCTTGAAGAACTCGGGCTAATAGCTATCGAGACTTGACCAGTAGTTATTTATTTGATATCAAACCATAAGAAATGCGGCTAAGATCGTACTTAGAGCGAATTATTCGCGGTATAATTATTTAAGTCTCTTAATTTTAAGCCATATTCCCTTATCTGGCTGATTTACCATAGCATAATAACGCGTTGGTTGCATTTTCGGATCAATTTCTATCTGTAAGTGATGGACAAGTTTAGCAACAACAATTTTTAACTCGTCTGTAGCAAAATTTTTGCCAATACAATTACGTTGGCCAGCGGAGAATGGTATATAATGATACGGATCCCGATTTTGAATGTTTTCAGCTGTGAATCGCTGCGGATCATATTGATATGGATTAGGCCATACTTCTGATCTTCGACATAAGGTATGAAGTTGTAAAAATACAGTTGTACTTGCTGGAACCAGCATACCATTGACTGTCAAATCTTGATTTAACTTTCTTTCTATAGTAGGTACTGGTGTATATATTCGCATAGCTTCTTTAATGCACATGTGAGTATAGTTTAGTTTATGTAGATCATCGTAATCTATATTATCTTTATCGCATAAAATCCCGTCGGCTTCTTCTCGAACTTTATCTTGATGTTGTGGATATTTAGCTAAGCAATAGAGTGTCCAAGCTAATGCACTCGATGTTGTATCATGGCCAGCGAACATAAATGTGTTGACTTCGTCTCGAATTTCTTGAACGTTTAAACCATATCCATCTTCATCGCGTGTTTGTAATAATATATCTACAAAATCCATATGCTTCCCTCGCCTATTTTGACTGCTTTGTTGATTTATATTATTATTCGTTAATGTTTCTTTTCTCCTGCTAATGATTTCATCAGAAAATTGGTTTACGTAATGACAAAGTTTCAAAAACTTCTTACCGCTTGGACTCCATCGATAAATGCAATCGAATGAATAAGGTAAAAAGTGAACTCGTTCTAGAAGTAAGCGCGTTAGCTGCCTTGACGCCGTGATGTAGGGATGATATTTACCTATTGTTTGGCAATCTAACTTTATGGAAAAAGCAGTTTGTAATATAACATCAAGTGTTAACAATTTCAGGTCTTCATAAGTGTCAAAGCTTTCTCCTTTATCATCTCGGGCTTTCCATTTGGTAATAATGGTATCTATACAATCATTGTAAATTCGTACATAATTCTTTAAAATATCGTAATGGAATGCTGGTGTTAATAATCTTCTATTCCTTGCCCATCTAGGACCATTTTCTGCAATCAATCCATGCCCCAGCCACGGTGTAGCCAGCTTATAAAACCAGCTACCTTTAGGTGACGATGCTTTAATGATATCTTTAGCTGCATCACTGTTGTTACAACAAAGAACGGGGAAAATACTAAACCAATGGACAAAGCACGTATCATAACTGGGACAACGTTTCTCGAGCATTTGAATGCAAGCCTCATCAGGTTTACCAAGCTGTAACAAATGGCCCATTAGCCAATGTGATGGAGGTGATGGAAATTTTCGAAGTGATTTCCATATTCTAAAATATTGTATAATATCTCCTCTATTCCTTATAACGATGATTACGATGAATGCAATTACAATAGTGAATATTGCTTCAATCCAGGATAGCATGACAAGCTCCACAAATTTACAAACCAGTAGTTCAACTTAAAACTTGAATTAGAAGAGAGTTAGAATGTAAGAGTAGTTTCCTTGAATGTACAATCTTTTATCGCATATGTTTATTGGGTCTGCCTATCCATATCACTCTTAGTTATGGTAATTTTTACAGCTGGTTGAGTGGATAAACATTTATTTCTATTATTTTATTTATAGTTATACCTTTATGACGTATGTGCTATATTTGCTTTTCTGCCTCATACGTATGCAGAATGATAACATATATAATAAAAATAATATTTGCTACGACTGGTCAAGTGTTACCGGTGCTTGAAATGATATTATGAGCGTATATGAACAAATAAGGGAAGTAGTTTAACCGTTCCAGATCTACAATATAAATTTTTATTAGATTTTTGAATGATTTTATAATTATAATAGAATATGTAATGAATCATGAATACTGATTGGTAGTTTTATCTATGATATTATAGTATTGAAAATATCGATGAAGTTTACTATAGGTAGATACATTTGTGGGTTTATTTGAAAGTATGTTGTGATAGCGGCGCTAAGTTAGGTTTCGTTCCATTTGCCCTAAATATTTTGTATTAATAATACGGGTTTCACTGATGATGGAATTACTTCCGTCGTAGTCTTACATTATGTAAACACTCACATAAACCTAATGTTAGTTAAATTGCTATTGGTGGTTATATGGCTGAAGCTATAGTTTAAAGTATTGCTTTACCTGATGTATCGACGGTAAATCTGCTAACCGCAAATCATTTGATAAGACATTGAAGTTTATATGTTATCCAAAATTTAATTTCTACTAGATATAAATTCTATGGCTTGGTAAAAACGAAATAAATATAGGTAGTGGAAAGCTTTAATAGTGGTATAAATTGAGTACAAGAAATCAACATACAAATGAAAATCATAAGATTTGTATCAATGGTGCATTGATGAATATTGAATGCTGTAAAATTACGTAGATACTTTTACATATTATACAAGTATAATATGAATAGACAGATTGATGTGTACCCTTAAGTCAATAGATGGATGGATAAATAAAGATATAAATAACAAGATAGAAAAGTATGTAAGACACGTACTTTAATTTCCGATAATAAGTAGAAGGAATATCTATGTTTTCTTCCTGTTGTATACGTCTATGCTAGCTAATTAATTCGTAAATCTGTATCACACTGAATTATAAATTTGTGAAAGCTAGTGGAATAGGTCAACATTTATGTCTCTACCATTTTAGAATTCATACCGCTATTCCAGATTTACTAATGTATATCTTTGTTTGATTCTAACAGGTCTACGCTCGGTTATTTAGTATTTACTGAATCACAGCCTTAATATTATATACAGGGTATATTGGCGTGTGTACGAGTAAAATATAGTAGTATACTGAAATAGTTTATTCACGAGTAGTAGATAAGTGTGCGAAGTATCACGACCAGTTATTGATTGTGAGCCAATAGCTTGCAATTTTATATGGATTTGGTTATAATTCGGCAAGAAATAGCATCAGCATTGGCTTGCAAAGCTAGCAGAAATTGTAAATAAATAGATAACGGTCTTTCGGCATGTTACGGTACTATCAGTTCCGGAATGTACCGTTATTGAACCAGTAGGGACTACTATGCAGTACTACTGTAGGTAAAAGAGTAAAGCACGTATCTGGTATATTACAGGCCAGTTAGTATCCCTCAATCCTCTTCAGTTATTAAGTCCGCTGCCGCCTCCCACTTTACCCACCTTCTTCATTTGCATAAGCTAAATCATGGACTAGAATAAGATCTTCTAGTAGTTCAAGGTTAGACTAACCATAAATAGTAAGTATAAAATAGTATTATGTTATACGGTATAATGATACAATTATATTTTAGTATAATGATAGATATATTTGATTGTGTTGGTAGCTATATTTCATTTATTTAGGCTATAAAGAATAGATATTTCTAGGATGCTAATACTATAGTAGATGATTGCTAGCTACTATACTAGAGGTTGTTTATGACTAATATTAGCCAGTTCACTAATTATAGTACAAGATTTATGTGACCTGATATACTATAATTGTGAAAATACTCAACACTGAACGTGCTGAATACTAGTAGAAGAGTAGTGGTACTTTTAAGTAAATTGATTTGGATTATAGAACGTGATGATGATATATTTCAAAAAAGGATAAGGTTTAAGTTGATTCAAGTCTGATTGTAATTTAGAATGTCGTCATAAATGGATTAAACGAAATGTATTCAAGAATTGCGGAGATGAGCTCACATTAGAGATCTCATTTCACCTTGAGCTCACGATACTTTGGATTAGATTCTTACAGTAATTAATTATTGCTCTACTATTTTTAAAGCTTGCAATAAAAGCCTTTTACTAAGACTATTATTTGTGAAATACTTTTATTACAATGTGATAGAGAGCAATGATATGTAGACTAATTGCAAATGATAAAAAAATTAAAATGCCTTACAATGTGGTCTGCCTACGTATGTGTAATTACTACGCTGAAGTATTAAATTCTGAATAAAACGATATCTATTTACACTATCATGGATTGGAGCTTTTTGTTGAGTTAGGTACCATTTACGTGGATTGATTGCAAACATGACTTAAAGTAATGGATAGATAAGGAGTTTGTTACCTTTATTTCTCGCCATGAATATCAATCAATTCTTGCATTATACCGCAGTAGAGCTATTTGTTGTGTATTACTATCTGGAGTTAATACTAACAATCATATTGTAAGGTTTGTACTACTTTCCATCAGCTAGGAAGACAAAAGATTGTACGTGTAGTTAAAGTTGTTGTAAAGTTAACTACTAACTCCTATTCTCTGTTTATTTTATTGAAAAGCGGCGGCTTATATACGTACGCCATTCACACTCAAGTTTGTATAACAGTGAATTCGCTAGTGTATGCAGCATAATACACCATTACAACGAAGAATTAACACATGTAAAACACTAATAATATTCAACCACAAGTATTATTTTGTAACCTGTGACAAGAACAATTTGTAACGCACTAACTGTAAGTATTACTGAATTAGCATAAACACACAAAAGCAATCGCAACTGTACTATAACTGACTGACACTGTATAAAGTATTGCATCGTATAATCTAGCAAATATAGCGTAGTATATAATACTATTGATTGGTACTTCTAAAGAATTTTGATACATTCTTTAAACATTAATTGTATGATCAATAAAATAGAACTATCATGTTGACTATAAAGTGATGAAGTTAGCTTTGAGATTATCATATATCTTTCGACGAGAATTATAACGAATTCAGATTATCAGTTTCCTAAGAGTGATGTTTTGGAAAGTTGAAAGTTTGACATATGTTGCAATAAAGTATAATAGAATAGTTAAAGGAAGAGTAACCTGTATTGAGTTAGTGTAAGAGAATAATGATGTAAAATTATTGTACAAGTAACGACGTGACCAGTCGAATAACTATAATAGTGTAGAATTGGCAAAGCGTGCAAGCTTACTGTGTAGCTACCAGAACTAACTAACGAGACAGACGAAAGAAGATAGCTTTTATAATGTTAGGAGCACAGCAGGAGGAAACTATTTATAGGCCTGACTGATTCATGAAAATAGGTTAGTTCTATGTTAAGCTAGTGCTTCAGTATATACTAGCTAGAGTGCAAGATATTTCCTAAGAGTAAATTGTTAAATATAGATCATACATATTTAGTGCTATGTTGCAGTCTTAGAATTATGCTACAATCCGGTGAAAACTAATACTTTTACTAGAAATAGACTATACCGTATTTAGAAATAAACACTATACTAAGTATGTACTATTAGCAATGTTATCAAATTTAAACCATTATAGACATGAAAGACCTACCTTAGTTAAATCCTATCAAATTTATTCTGTTTACTAAAGTTAGCAAAAGCTATTCTATGTCATTGGAATGATAGCCAAATTACGGTGTACATCGCCTTCAAATTTTAAAGTTTTATTGGAGTTATGCAAAACACGTTTAATAGTACGACCAACAAGTACTTAACAGCTGATTTCACCTTACTATGAAAACATTCGAAGATAGCCAAGATAAACCAGATAATAGGACTTAGCTAATTCATTAGGCTATTATAATCTCTTGCAAAACACTGCAAAATCAGATTCCACTACAAGAGCATGCAATAAACTGATTAGTATTTTTATAATAATTGATAAAAATTTAGCCTTCTTATTTAGAATATCTAGACAATTAGCTTAACTGATAAAGGCAATGCTTCTAATTATAATTGCAGGCGACAATGCTCTTTATCTGATTGTTGCTGCCCTATATTATTATACTTCAATTAAATAAAATTTTGATAAGAACAGTACCAGCATCAAAATTTTTCTATAAAGGGTACCGTAGATCAATACAGAATAAAAGATTATCATCAAAAATTTTTGACAGTTATCGTTTAAAAACGAGAATGTAATACAGATTGATGATAAATATCTGAACTTCAAGTACTCTTCCAAAAGCATCGTTCTAAAAATTATGTAATCCTTGCGAATTCTTTGCACAATGATCTTAAAATGTTATGAATTTTGCACATTAATGAAAAAGATTCGCGTACATGCCAATTTTGCGCTAATTATCAACTATCTTAGCTGCTCTTAAAATTAATGTAATTCTGCATACATCCTATAAACCAAATTTAAAGCTTATAAATTTCATACTTCACTGCTTAAAAAATACCGTAAATATATCACAATTTTCAAACAGTTTAAGCCATAACTAATATTACGACTGTTATCACAGGCAGTAGCATTAATATCATAAGTGCAATAGTCTTTATTACAAGGAATAGATTTAGGTTAATGTTCATCATCGATACAGCTAGCATCAAAGCTAAAAATATCTTTTCTTGGCCTTAATCCATAATCCAGTTTCAGTTTGATTTACAATAGAATGATAGGGCTTAACATCGTAATTCGGATCAATCTCCAAGTAAAAGTGATGGATTATTTTAGCAACGACTACTTTGATTTCGTTCATAGCAAACTGTTGGCCTATGCAATTTCTTTGGCCAGCCGAAAATGGTAAATATTCAAATGCGTCGCGATTGTTTATATTTTCTATAGAAAAACGATCCGGGTCGTAGTCGTTAGGATTAGGCCAACTCTCCTCACGATGACAAATACAATATAATTCAAGATTGATAATAGTGCCAGAAGGAACCAATTTACCATCAATGATCATGTCTTGGTCCATTCTCCTTTCTACAACAGGCACAACAGTATACAAGCGTAAAGCCTCCTTTATACACATAGTGGTATAATTCATTTCGGATAAATCATTCCATTCAACGTCATTTTTATGGCTCATAAAGACATCAACCTCGCGGCGAACTTTTTCTTGATAATGAGGATATTTTGCCAAGCAATAAAATGTCCAACTGAGTGCACTGGCAGTAGTATCATGGCCTGCAAACATAAAGGTATCCACTTCATCGCGAATTTCTTGAACTGTTAAACCATTGCCATCTTCATCGCGTCCTGTTAATAGAACATCTAAGAAATCATAGTGTTCTTTTCGATTATTTTGCTCTTGGTTTTCTAATTCTTTTTTTCTCTTTTCAATAATCTCTTCTACGAATTGATGTACAAAATGGCAGAGTTGAGAAAATTCTCGACCTTTGGAAGATAACCGATAGATCCATTCGATATAATGAAGCAATGTAAATGCTCGATCAGTAATCAACCGAGTCAATCTGTGTATCGCGGCCACATAAGGGTGATTTTTACCACTTGTTTGACAGTGAATCTTAACTGAAAAGGCGCATTGCAAAAGGGAATCGAATGATAGTAGCGTTAAATCTTCGAACTCATTAAAACTTTGGTTATTTTGACTCCGTTCTGTCCATTTTTGGATAATAGTGTCAGTACATTGATTGAAAACAGTTAAATAAGATTGAAGTCGTTCGTAATGAAATGAAGGAGTTAATAATCTCCTATTTCTCTTCCATCTGTTACCATTTTCGAATATTAATCCTCGTCCAAGCCAAGGTCTAACCCACGCATATATCCAACTTCCTTTGGGCACCGATGCTTTTATAATCGCTTTTGCAGCTTTGCTATGATTAATGGATAAAATAGGAAATATAGACAGCCAATAAACGCTACAAGTCTTAAAACTTTTAACGTAATGCTCCTTCAGTTGGATATGTCTTTCATCTGGCTTTCCCAGCAGTACTAAATTGCCTAACAACCAATGTTTTGGAGGGCATGGAAATTGTTCTAAAGCCCTTCGAATACGGAGGTGCTGTACTATGGCTTTTCTCTTTTGGATGAATACAATAGCTAAATAGCCGATGATCAGTGTCAGGGTAACAACGAGGATAGACATTTGTAGCTGCAAGTAAATTTCTTTCGAATAGCGTCTGCTACACCCTAAAACAAGCTATCCTTTTCTTTTATAAATGTAGAATTTAATGCATAAAGTCATACTAATCATTATAATTATGCATCACTTCCTAAGAACGGTCTGAAACATGATACTGATCAATCTTTAAGGTTGAATCTGTTCTAAGCCTTGCTGATTAAGGGCTGTATAATTTTAAAATGGCTTACCTTGGATAGACCAATGACGATAATGTTAGTTTTTAATGCTTGCAAAATAGACGCAATTCACTACTTCTCAATATGTGATAACCATGAAGAATATTACTTCGTGTGAATATTATGTAGACTTACATTTAATTTCAATCTGTTCGTAAGTACTTTGTTGTTCTGGTCTAAATAGCTAGCTCACAATACTAAACAATCTAGCAAACAAAATGCAGTTAGTAAAGAGATTACCACACCGTGACTGAAGTAAAACCTCCAGCAGACTATTTCTCACAAATGCAGAACTTGCTTTCGTTGTTGGTATCCGATTATTAAGACCAGATATCTATTATTGGTATATAGTTATGACTCCGTCCAATGCACAGACAGACAAGAGTTAATATACTGACGGACATAAAAATGTTTATGCCAGTGGTCAATTAATTAGTACTGCACTTGCGTATGGTATTAAATAATTTATATCGAGATTTTACGTATATATGCAGTATCAACTTTTAAGTCTCTATAGCGATATACTGCCTAAGTGTCCAACATTCGATTCAATTCGAGATTGGCCTATTTAGCATTTAATTCTTGATCGAATCTGTTATGCAAGTATTTATTGCTGATACAATGACTTCAGTTACCGCCAATAAATCAAGATTTAGATGAGATTTCTAATGTATACCGTATAATATGGTTAAAAATGGTTATTTGCAATTGTGCATTACTTTAAATAACAAGCACCATCTAAGGAATGCCTAAACTACGATAATTGTTTGAATAATTAGTATTTATAACTGATACAAATAACTTCTAACAGCATTAATAATCCAGAATTGGATACGACTTGTTACAGGTAATTTTCTTAAACTGGTTAATTGCAATAAAGTATCTTTCATAAAATAGACTGTATAGAGAGCGTGTAAGGGTTATAATAAACGTTTGAACGTAGCAATAATGGTAGTATTGCTGATTTAATGACTTCTGTTAGTATTAACAATTGTTAATAAGAATTGCAATAAAGTTTTAAATAAAATTTAGAATCTAAACATAATGTACTAAAATTAATTATTGTACTCATCTGCTATAGTTAATATAATACTGTAGACAGTATAGGCATGTGCTATGCTAGGCTACAATAAGAGTTAACATGTGATTTAAAATTTGAAATTAGTTTTGACCTTGTTGCACGTTGTTAAAACATCAGTTTAGGATTAGTTTTGTGTTTCCACACTCGTCCTCAACATTCAATTTTTCATACTAATAAATCGTTCCATTGATTCAATTCGCAAAATCTACAAGTTCAACTTTAATTTAACAAAATTCGATAGAACCTAAGTGCAACTACTACTTAACCTTATTCATATTGTTTGCCAATTCGCAATTACAAGATTGCTTTGGAGTTGAAAACTTTAAGGAATATTTTTATCCACATTAGGAGTAATGCACTGGTAGTACATAGAACCCTAATTCATAGTCTTTGGGTTATTATAGACATCATAATTGGAGCAACAATATCAGTCGATGATATTCGAAATTTACAGTACTACGCTTTACTCTATAGATAGTATTTCCAAATTTTGTAAAGAGAGCATAACATTGCACAGACATGCTCAAGGTAAGCTAAATTGTGCGGAAACAATATTTAATGAATGATTTGTCGTTATATTTACTTTTCTGTAACAATATGGTATCGCCTTATATCGTTATAAGCCAATTCCTATCTTGCAATTCTATCTCCACTATTATCCTTATCCTATACGATGTTGGCAACGTATAATCTCGTACATAGATAATGTGTAATCAAGCAATGGGGCGTAACTATTGCTTAATAAATATTGTAATGATTTCAAAAAAAATTCCTCGGTGAATCTTATTTTTTGAGTAGTCACATTTTTAGCAATCGTGATAATTCAATGATAATCTAAGAAATTAGCAACCTAATACAATTAGGTCTAAAAGTGTTGAGGTTGCACACGATTGACCGGTGATAAAAATTTAATTGATTGGGTAAATTTATGTAGTACAGTCCCAAATATGTCTAAGATTAGAATTGTAAAAGCTATACAGTCCTTAGTAGTTGTAACACGAACTGAATGAATGTCATAAATTGAAGTTTAAAAGAAACTGTAGTTCTTTTTTTATTCTTTAGGAGATACTTTATCGCAATACCATATAGCATCTTAAGAACATTAAAACAATAAGTAGTTTTTAAGTGAAACCTTATTTTATTGTATAATAAGAAACTTATTTCGTCTAATAATACGAAGGGCTACCTATTTTCGGTCTACAACAAAATCCGCTATTTAGATATAATTAATTATAAGATTATTTTTATAAATTCAATCATATCTTGCCGGTTAATGTGCATGATCAAGCTAAAAATTTTCCTAAAATATACGATACGATTATGCATTACTATTAGACATCCCTTCTATTTAAAGTTTCTTAATATATTCTTCATAATCTTAACTTAACGCAATCTTATAATTTTTTAAAATTCTAATATATTAATGGTCGTAAAAGGCCACAATATGCACCATAAATATCATCTGAGAGTAGATACTAGTACAATCTAGCAATTAAATGTTCAACGGTAATAATTTTTACATGATCTTATCATTTTTTGTCTTAAGCCAATTTGAGACTGCACTGCAATTGAGTAGCAATTAAATGTCTGTTTTATTTAATAATTCTCGATTACAATCACGCCAAAGTATAAGTTTGGCAATATGCTATCACTTTTATCATTCATATCGACTTTAATAGAGCTTAAGAACATGAGTATTTAGCTGTAAATGGAGCAAAAACGTGTGTAATAAACGCAAGTGCTATATATCTTAGAGTAATCATAAATATTTTGATAAAATATTTTATTTAAAACTTGGCAAAGCATTACCTGCCTCAAGGGTTTGATGTACTATACCGTAAACCTTAACTCAGCTTATTTTTTCAAGCATCATTTTAAAGTAGCTAGGGCATAAGGGCTATTCATACATCGCACTTTTCAAATTCATATGCTACTCATTTAAAATATAGTGCTAGCTAGCAATGACACTATTTATGAAGATGCATAATTAGACTACCATGAAATATAATTCGCAGTGCTTATTAACTATGAAACATTAACGACTTTCTCTATCTATGCTAATAAATTAAAAAATTGTACGAAAACGATATTCATGAACCTTATTACCTTACTACCATTCGACTAAATGTCATATTGGGCCAATGCAATAAAATTAATTTCTTTTGATTGTCATACCTCTTAAATCAAAATTTTTTATTTCTAATTTGAATTAAATTGAAATGCTGGACATTTTTTCATTCAGTGAATATATATGGCTATCAGCTAATCATAGCTAGTACTATAATTAGATTTGGATCAGAATAACTTAATTTTATATCATACACATTTATAATTAAATTCTCAAAGCGGGATACAAACTAAATTGACATATTACCTTAGTAAAGGCTGAGCTGCCATACCGTAATCACGGTATATTACAATGAACTTTTTAATAAATCACTTAAATAAAATGATAAACATTTAGGATGAAAACAACCCGTATGAAACACGTAATATTTTTTATTAAAACTTGAAATTTTTAATTTCATTCTTTTTATTGAATGTAGCTATAATTGCTACTTTTTTCAAAAATAATCAGTTATAAATTCTTTTTATTGCCGCATAATAATTATGTGAATCAATAGTGTTATTTAATTGTAATGGCTAAAATTAATGTATCCTTTGACGATTTTTAATTTTAATCCATAACCCATTCTCCGGTTGACTTACGATGGCGTGATATCGCTTTGCTAATCGTTGATGGTCAATTTCTAACTCATAATGATGCAAAATTTTTGACACTGCTACTTTCATTTCATTCAAGGCAAAATGTTTACCGATACAGTTACGATGACCTGCAGAAAATGGCATATAATCATACGGATCTCGAAGTTTCGAATTTTCAGTATTGAAGCGTTGAGGTACAAATTCTGTAGGATTTTCCCATGTATCTTCACGATTACATAAAGCGTGAAGATAAATACGGACCGTTGTTCCAGCTGGAACGAACTTGTTATCAATTGTCATGTCGCGATTTAATTTTCTTTCTACACTAGGTACTGTTGTGTATAATCTCATTGCTTCCTTAATGCACATGGTAGTGTATGTTAAGGACGACAAATCGTCCCATTCAACGTCATCTTTATCCTTAAAGATGACATCGATTTCTTCTCTCACTTTAGTTTGATGCTCACCATATTTAGCCAAGCAGTATAAAGTCCAACCTAATGCACTTGCTGTAGTATCATATCCCGCAAACATAAATGTGTGGGCTTCATCACGAATTTCGCGTAGCTTAAGACCTTGACCGGTTTCATCGCGAGCAGTTAATAAGATGTCAATAAAATCGATCCTCTTATGTTTTTGTTGATCAGTCATTTTGTTGTCTTTATGAGATCTTAAATTCTCAACTCGTTTTTGAATTATTTGATCGGCAAATGAATGAACAGCATCACATAGATCATAATAACGCTTCCCTTTTGTCGATATGAGATAAATCCAGTCAATGTAATGATGCAATGTTAATACTCTATCGATCACAAGACGCGTTAATTGTTGGACAGCTGTAAGATATGGATGATGAGTCTTATTTATTTGACAATCTGTCTTGACAGAAAATACGCATTGTAATATGATATCGAAAGATAGCATTTTGATATCAGGATGTTCATCAAAACTATGCGGCATATCAGCATATTGCCGCCATTTGTTAACTAAAACATTAGCGCATTCATTGTAGACTTTCAGATATGATTTTAAGTTATGAAAGTGGAATACTGATGTCAATAATTTTCGGTTTCTTGCCCAACGTTTACCACTGGCAAGAATTAATCCATGACCTAACCAAGGTCTCATCCAATTGCCGATCCAGCTTTCTTTCGGTACCGAAGCTTTTATGATTGATTTTGCGGCACCGCGATGGCTACATATCAAAACTGGAAATATTCCAAACCAGTACGTATAACATTTATCATATTTTTTAACATGATTATGGATTAGCTTGATACGATTTTCATTAGGCTTTCCCAGTTGAAAAATGTTTCCAAAGAGCCAGTGAGGTTTTGGGCCAGGAAAGTGTTGCAATGCTTTACGAATGCGAAAATACTGAGAAATATATTTCCTTCTTTTAATGATAACGGAAAAAACAGAACTAATAACCATCGTTACGAGGACTAAAGGCAGTGATGGCGCTTTAAAGCCTTTTTCAAGAATAAAAGTTGGCACTAAAGTATCAATTACTTGTGCTAGTGTCATCTTGCTGTCTATCTTTGTAATCGGCCAAAAAATTTAAATTGAAATAAGTGCAGTTCTATTCTTGGATTGAACGATGATAACTGAAAGTCAGAATTGTGTCCTACTTAGTAAAAATGTTCTAAAGCTGTTACCATGCCATAGAATATAACAAAATAAGGGATTAAAATAATTGGCAAAATTCACCAGATATTTCAGATTTGTAGTGCTTGGAATACTTGTGCTGATTTTTACAGGCGGAGATTAAATAAGTTCTAAACGGAGGCTAATAAAGTTAAGGAAGCAACGAAACAAAAAATTTAACAATGTTTTATGCTATATCGAGGCCTTGCTAAGCTCAGACTGCTGCTATTACAGTAAGCCACGACATATATTTTAAAGGTCTGGTCAGTTAAGCATTTTAGTAATGGAGCACTAGCAATCAAATAAACGCGTAGACATACAAGTACTCCACTTTACTGAGTAAATTTAAGCAAGCGGATAAACATGTTAATATTTATGATTTCTATATTTTTATTTCTTTATTGATACAGCTGCCAATTGAAATTAAAGTAAGGAAGCTAAAGGGAAAAGTTTGTAAGCATGTTTACGAAGGTAGAAAGCTGATAAGTACGTATAGGATTGGTCGATTAAATATATTGGGTTCGTTTCATTTTCCTTATATAGGTTTACAGTACTTCACTTTATTTTTTAGTGCATTGGATCTGGTTTGAAACACGGCATTCCTAGAATTGGATTTTACTCAATCTTTGCAGTTAATTAATAATTTTGAGTCCGATTAAATTGGCCATTGAAGTATTAGCCGTATATTGACTGATTATTATAACACAGACCTGTAGAGAAATAATAGCTGAATAAAGTTTATCTTTACTATAGAAATATACTTGCCAATAAGCTGGAGATTGAAAATTAATCAACTAAACGACAGTAAGGTAGAAAAATACAAAAGTTGGCATGAACAAAAGATTTTATTACACTAATCACATCAATATTTTATTACTTTTCCGGTCTTGTATATTGACTAAATACTTTAATCGCTATAATTAAATAAATTTATCCGTTATTGATTATTAATTAATAATTTCCGCAAAAATTGATCCACTAACCGATTGAAAAGATCTTATTACCTTTATACCCTATAAGAATAAAACGATTAAGGTCGTTTAGGTTAATAAATAGGAAATTAACAATTGTTATATTATTATGCAAACTACTAGGGTAACGCATCCTTGACACTTTTTTCCCTGGAAGTTATAAAATTAATGCATTTAATAGTTTGATAACAATTATAAAATGTTATATATATATAAATAATGCTATTAATAGTAGCAAATAGTACAATACATTAAAAAACAGAACTATATTAACCTTAATATAGAATAATATTAAGATGGAACTTTAATTGTATCCCTTAGGTTGTTAAATTTCTTTAATATGGTTCAATGAGAATACAGCTTTACTCCATTTTCATTTCCAGTATAAAATCTACATCATTCTTCTATTGTGATATTGAACGTGATCTTATTATAAGCACTTGGAGATAATACTTCGAGATTTAATTACTGCGGCTATACATTTTAGATTAAAAGTGTTACTCTTATTTTAAGTATAGTATCAATATCAACTTATTAATATTATAGTAGGATATTAGTTTAATTATCTAATACGTGATGCTACGCTCCTACATTATCAATTAGAAAGGAACGAAATATACGTAAAGCTATAGGCAGTAAGATTGCACTTTCCATATTCTCATCCTGTCCTACATTATTTGTAACTAAAAATTATTGTACGCAGTTTCCATTAATTAAAATTATAGCATCATCGAACATAACTCGATAAAATTGTATTAATTTAGTAATTTTAAGGAATCAACTTGCATAAATAAATGTTTGTTTGTCGTTCCGCGTATTAAATATCTTTAATTTAATATACGTATCTTCCAATTCAATACCGAACTCTCTACTCAAAATGA